CTGGAACACTGACTGTCCTGAGTCCCCATCCTGCCAGCTCACCCTACAGATTTTGGACTTGTCAGCCTCCATAATCATGTGAGCTAATTCCTTATAGGAATATATATATGTATATATATACACACACACATATATATATATAATTTATATATATTTATATATATTCTTTATAGATATATGTATAAATATTATATATATATATATATATATATATATATATCTTGTTGATTCTGTTTCTTTGGAGAACTTTGACTAATACAATATATTAATGAACATTTTATTATGACTAAGTTGGATGTGCCCTTGTTATTCCTCCTTCTTTTGTATTAATCTCTCTCTCTCTCTATTTCTTTCTCTCATCTTTATCCTCCTATTTCCTACTTTGATGATATTAATCAAACAACATTTTCCTTGGAAAATTCTCTTCTTGGCAATCATTTCATCTCAACATGAACTAATACCTCAAATGATTCTCAAATATATGATTCCAAGCCAACTCCCTGTGAAGTTACAGATCCTCATTTCCAAATGCTTAATAGTGATCTTCATCTGGTTATTCATCAGATTTCTCAATATGTTCAAAACTGAACTTTTTTCCAAAAACTATACTGTTTTCTATTTTCCTTATTCTGTTAATAGCAAAACCTTCCACCCTGCATGTTTTGGTTACTCTAGCTCAAAATCATCTTTACCCTCCCTTTTTCTACACAACTTTTTGCTGAATCCTGGCAACCAGTTGCACAATCAACAACCAGTGCAGCTAGATGTTTCCTTTGCAACATCTCCATCATCCCTCTTCCTCTGCCATTGACACCCTGGTTCAAGCCCAGGTCAGTTCCCCCTGGCTTTCTTCAAGACTTTCTAACAGGTTTACCTTATTTTAGACTCTTACCCTCTGTTCATTTTCCCTATGGTGTTGAAATTATTTTCCTGAAGAAACCATGCAAAAATCTTAACAGAAGGAGAAATGAGTGAATGGAAAACATGTCCTCATCCAAATACGTAAACCCAAGTGTGGTCTCTACTGGAGGGATGGACCACCATAAAAGTAACCCAAGTTGTGAGGTAGCTGTACTGCTGATGCCATCCAAGAACAATAAGCCACACACGAAGGGTAAAGGATAGGGTGTGACTTCAAACGTACAAGGCAGAATGAAGAAAAATTCCACATTCACGATAATGCCAAGGCTTTGACACATTTGGGTTGAAAGAGAATGATGGGAAACCATGGAGGCTTCAGAGGATTCAGCCAATCAAAAAGCCAAGGATGAGCAACCGACTTTAGGGACACGGCTGTTACAACTAATTCTCTCTCCAGCTTCATGGAAGCATCTGGCATTGTCAGGGCTGCTCCTGTCTACTGACATTGCAAGAGTCAGTGACCAAGGATGATTTGGTGCATATTTTTAATCTGCCTCTTAACTCCAGAATTCTTAAAAGGAAAGGTGCTAATTTCCATTGTTATCCCTTGCTTCGTACTTGGTTGTATACATCTTAATGTTGGTAAAAAACAAAACAAGAAATCTTCAGCCTAACATTCAGTCAATTCACGATCTAATTCTGGCTTACCACTTCAAAGTTATTTCTCATCAGAAATTCTTGGCTCCAGCAAACTAAGCTGATGTTCTAAGTACATAGTTCACATTTCCTGCCACTGTTCCGATAGCCTTCCTCGTGACCAGAATTCTTTTTCTCCATATGTAGAAATTGTATTCAGCCTTCATGGACTAGCTTAAATGCCATTTCCTCCAAGAAGCCCCACACTTCAAACATGTCCCCTTCTCATTCTCTCCTTTCCAAATCTACAGGAAAAAAAAATGAATTATTTCTGAAGCCATTCATAATTTCCTTTTCATGTTGTTGCTTTTATACATTAAACCCTCCTACTTTTCTGTAAGTTCACTAACAACAGTTCCTATCTGAGTCATCTTGATCTGCCTCCCCTGCAATAAGCAGTATTCTTATACACAGTGAACACAGTATATGTTTGCTAAAATAAAAAAATTTTGATTGAACTTCTTACATTTTAAAAATTTATACTTTATGTATTTGCTGACCTAGTACATCAGCAGCAGAAGCAATTTTAACAAAATAATTCTTCCTCTCCCTTTTCAGTTGCATACAGCCTAGTCATAGCATTTTGGGAACTTCATCAGATATGGCAATAAATGTGTCACTGAATATCTGGGAAACACTAAGAAAGGCAGATACACATTCTGATGAGAACAATGCTAATAATGATAAGCGTTATACATATACAGCATTGTGATGTGTTAGACATTGGCCATTATATGGATTAACTCTTAAATCTCACATCACTCTTATGACGCTAGTATAGATGAAGAAACTGATATACAAAGAGCTTAAGAAATTTGCCTAAATTCAAGCAACTAGTAAGTGGCAGAGATAAGATTCAAATCCAGGAAGTCAGGAATCAGAGTTCATGCTCTTAAGTCCACTCTATAAAATATAACTCCTATTCTACCCACTATTCAGAAAAATGTCCATGTTGAAGGGATGGTCCTTGGTTTGAAGAGTATCTCATCTTCCAGCTCCCTCCAATGGATGAACCCCTTCTCAAGGGTTAATGGAAGGCACTGTAGAGCAAAGGGCACATGAGGGATCAAGGACTCCACTGAGTATTTCAAAATGATATTGGAGCAATGAAAATTTGAGTAATACATCTCCAATGTCATTATATAAGGCTTTCAGTACAGGGAGGTATAGAAAATGACGTGTTTTAAGAGTGTTGCCTTTGTAGTAGCCTCAGAACCAAACTTTCTCAAAAGTAAAGTAGAATATATGTGAATACTGGAATCACGAATACCCTTATTGCACACACCCTGCTGTGAGTTACTCTTTGAACAGAATTGCTGCTTAGACTTCAAACCACCACTGTGACCTCAAGAGGTTAGCAGAAAAGAGAAATTCTTTGGTTTAGAAACCATAACATGGGTAAAATGCCATTTAAAGGCCTAAGACTTAGAACTGAATATGGCTTTTTGGGAAAAGTCAGTCAATCCTCTTATAAAAAGGAGGAAATCTCAATGATGTCTAATGCTTTTAAATTCCAGATTAATATAGAAAGACCTAATAGCAGTATAATGTTATTTTACCCATAAAAGTAGATGTCATGTTCTTCAATATCATTAGCTAAATCGTGTTCTTTAATTGATCATCTTCATACTAGACTTTTTTTTAAATTTGTGAAAATCTTTTCAATGTGAAATGGTAGATACCTGCTAGTGTTCTGGAGAAAGAAATAGTGAAATATAGACTACATGAAATGTTTTGGGACCATGAAGAGTATATAATGTAGCAAATTTTAAAACAAGATTCAAGAAGTAAGCAAGCCACGCAGCCTCACTCTAAAACAATGAATTTAAACTATATATCTAGGTTTGATAGATAAAAAGAAAGCTTCTCTCAAGAGATAGTCCCAGAACAGAGGACAGAAGTGTTTATATAACCTTGTGATTGAACTAGAAAAACAAAAACAATAACAACAAAACCTCTCAGATTGTAATTCTGAAATCATATATGGGTAAAGGAAAATTTCTAATTTATCTCTCACAGATTATATTTTTATAATAATTTCTGTCCCTTTCCCTCAAATTCAGCAATTTTTGGCCTTCAGTATATAACCAAAAAAGAATTTTCTTTTTTTTTCCCCAGAGGCAGGTCATACAAATCCCTTTTACAACAGCTGCAAAAAATAAAAATAAATACTTAGGAATATATTTAACTAAGAAGTGAAAAATCTCTATAAAGGAACTATAAAACACCACTGAAAGAAATCATAGATGACACAAATGAAAACACATCCTATACTCATGGATTAGAAGACTCAATATTGTGAAAATGACCATACAGTCGAAAGCAATCTACATGTTCCATGAAATTCCTTTCAAAATACCAACCACATGTCTCACAGAATTAGAAAAAAATGAACCCCAAATTCGTACAAAGTCAAAAAAGATCTGGAATAGCCAAAGCAATCTTAAGTAAAAAGAACAAATCTGGAGGCATCACACTACTGGACTTCAAATTATACTACAAGCCTATAGTTACCAAAACAGCATATTTCTGGTATAAATGTAGGCATATAGGCCAATGGAACAGGAGAGAGAACCCAGAAATAAAGCCAAATGTTTACAAGCAACTGCTCTATAACAAAACATACAAAAACAGAAATTGGGGAAAGGACACTCAGTTTTGTAAACGACACTGAGAAAACTGAATAGCTACACATAGAAGAATGAAACTGGATTCCTATCTCTCACCTTATACAAAAATCAACTCAAGATAGGGCAAAAGCTTAAATCTAAGATAGGAAAACATAAAACTGCTAGAAGGTTACTTAGAAAAGCTCTTCTAGACATTGGCCTAGGCAAAGAACTCATGACTAAAACCCCAAAAGCAAATGCAGTGAAAACAAAAATAAACAACTGGGACTTAATTAGATAAAAAGGCTTCTGCAGAAAAGGAAAGATTCAGCAGAGTAAACAAACAACCCACAGAATGGCCGAAAAATATTTGCAAACTATGCATCCAACAAAGGGCTAATATCCAAAATCTACAAGGAACCCAAGCAAATCAACAGGAAAAGAACAAATAATCCCATCAAAAAGTGGGCAAAGGATGTGAGTAGACATTTATCAAAGGAAGATATAAAAATGGCCAATAAGCATGTAAAAAAATGCTCAAGAGCCTATTAATCCTCAAGGAAATGCTCCTTGAAATAATGGCCATTATTAAAAAGTTAAAAAAAAATAGATGTTGGTATGGATATAGTGAAAAGTGAACACTTATATGCTGCTGGTGGGAATGTAAATTAGTACAACCTCTATGGAAAACAGTACGGAATTCATTAAAAAAAAAAAAAGGAGATGAATTTGATTCAACATTCGATTCAGCAATCCCACTACTAGGTATCTACCAAAAGGAAAAGAAGTCATTATGTGAAAAAGACTCATGCACATGCATGTTTATTGCAGCACAATTCACAAATGCAAAGATACAGAACCAACCTAATTGCCTACTGACCAATGAGTGGATAAAGAAAATGTGGTATATATACACCATGGAATACTACTCGGTCATTAAAAAAATGCTTTTGCAGCAACTTAGGTAGAACTAGAAGCCGTTATTCTAAGTGAAGTTATTCAAGAACGGAAAACAAAATACTTCGTGCTCTCATTTGTAAGTGGGAGTTAAGCTATGGGTGTGCAAAGGCATAGAGAGTGGTATAATGGACTTTGAATACTCAAAAGGGAGAGGTTGGGAGGGGGTGAGGGATACAAACTACATATAGGGTACCATGTACGCTACTTGGGTAACCAGTACACTAAAATCTCAGATTTCAACACCATATATCTTGTCATGTAATCAAAAAACACTTGTACCCCAAAAACTATTGACATAAAAATAAATTAAAGTTGAAGATCTTAAGAAAAAGAAATAATAATAATAATCGTCATTGCTATATAGATAATACAATAAAGGAAGGGAGGGAGGAAAAGAGGGAAGGAGGATGAGAAGAAAGGAGGAGAGGAGCAACGGAGGAAGGAATGAAGGGAGGAAGGGAGAGAGGAAGGAAGGAAGTGGGGAAGGAAGCAAGGAAGGAAGGAAAGAAGGAAGGAAGGAAGAAGGAAGGAAGGAATATTTATAATAATAAATATTTTCTTAATGCAATAGATGCTCTTAGATTTCCTTTAACATAATAATTAAAGAATAACTAATGGTAGAAAAATAAAAAATAGTTCCAGTCACTTTTGAAGAAAAATGATTACAAAATGACTTACATGATGTTTATAACCTCAAGTAATCGATGTTATCATTCTAAGCTGTTTAAAATAATCAGCCTCATAAAACTTTAATGACCACCACTTTCTCTCACTGTATTTATAGTGAAGCCTCCTTATTCATTTATAAAGAGATAAACGAAATCCTCAAATACTTGTATTATCAAATTGTTACATGACATGGGTTTTCTCCCTTCCAAGTTTCAGATGTGTCCAAGTCAGTTTTAGTCTCATAATACAAACTGCATGCTCTATAGTCTCTTCCATACAAATTTCACGGATTATAACAGACTCTGAATATTGGGGGCACTTAAGTATCATTAAAACATTTTTATCTAATCTAATTAACTTTTCCTACCATATTGAGTATATCAACCATAGTTTTACTATTATCCCTTAGGCTGAGCGATTATAGTATAATTTATTGAGATGAAGCCAAGAGCATATAACTAGTAAATCATCTATAATAAGCAAAGTGGAAAAGCACATTCCCTCTGCACAGGTGGATGATAATATTTGTGCCAAATAATATGGCGCTTCTCCCCACTCCTTGGTATTTTAAACATGCATTTTGTTGTCAGGCTCCCTGCCAGTAGGCTGCATGGGTCGCAGTGGAGTCTGGCTAATAATTCAAAGGTGAGTTAATTAGAGGCTGCAGTTTGGAATGTTATCAAGCTGCTTCTTAGACATCTATCTGCTTTCCATACAGGTGTGAAATATTGACAGCAAATTTTAGAAGTGTGATGACATTTTTACCTTTCACTTACTTGATTAGATTTTGATATGACTCATACTTTAACCGGAATAGCAACTATAACTCTGTTCAAGTAGCTATTTACCATAAGAAGGCACTGGGGAAGTTCAAAAGAAATGTAGTATTTAACGTATTAACAAAAATCTTGGGAATTAATGCCATCTCCCACCAGAAAACAGAAGTTTATTTTGAATTCTTTTGGTCAAAATTAACCATTTATACCACAGTACCTTTCATTAATATGTTTTGAGACTATGATGACACTGAAAGCAGATTACAATGAAGCTTTGTTAGTTTATAGTAATACATTAATTATATGATCACATTTCCTGAACTAATAATAGACCACAATGGATACAATGTCAACTTCAGGGCTGTTTTTGCCTTATATCATATCAGGAGAAAGAAAGACTATAAAGAGGCCCAAATTTTGACATGTATCTGGGACTATAACATAAAGGGAGACAGTTCTATAACATGTCTTTTACCATCACACTCCTTGGAGTCCAAGTTTTTTAATGCATATATTGTGATTAAGAGCTTTAGATAATGATTGTATCTAAACGTCCTTTTTGAATTGCCCTATTTTTTCCCTACGATACTAGGATCATCAGTAGAGCAAACAGACAAATATGCATCAGAGATAAATATACATCAGTAGATACAGCAATTAATTGGGCAAATGTTTTCTATGTAAGCAATGCTTCTCTTTTTTTAATCTCTTCCAGTCAAAGTCAGACACAAGCTTCAATCTCATGTTCATGCAGGTCTTCTATTTTCTGCGTTCCCCAAAATAAATGCCCATTTGCTAAGCCTCCAAGTCTGATATGAAACTCTTTACATATGACCTTTAAATATTTTTGCATGTATTTTATTTACTTTTCCATGAGTGATGATGATGATAACGGTTATGATGATCATGAAGATGATCGCAACAGAGTTGAGGACAGGTTTGCTTTAAAATTTTAAAAATTAAATTTAAATTGATTAAAATTCACCCAATTATTGGTCCTTTTATGTATTTGTGGAAAATATTTTAATTTTGTTCCACTGAAAGCAGAGCCTCAGACTAAGGGCATGTGGCTTGGTTTGGAAGTCATCTCAGTAAGCAGGAACGGAGTGGGGAGAGGCAGGGCAGAAAAGTGCAAATGTAAGAGCTTATTAATGACCTTACTTCTGTAAGGGCTCAATTCCGCTCAGACCTCTAGAAAGCATACCGAATGCCTTCTAACATTGTCCACCTGAAGAAGAGGAGTTGGCAGTTCTTATTTCTCGTTGTTTAAAGTTTGTGCACAGGGGCGATATATTTCCCATTTTTAAATAACCCATACTTCATTTCAGGCCATAGGTGAAATGCCAGCACAGCTGAGAAAGCCCAGCTTTCTCAGTAAAAATACAAAAATTAGCTGGGCATGGTGGCGCATCTGTAATCCCAGCTACTCAGGAGGATATAAGGTGAAAGATGCCAACCAAATGCTTGAGATAGGAAACCGCCATCCTGAGAGGAGTTATGTCTAAGCTTACAAGAAACCAACCATGAAATGCAACTGTGGCCACAAGCATAAGTGGCCGAGGGGATGTAATGAGGGGTACCAAAAAATGCCCGTTGCGAAAATTATTTTTCAAGACAAACACTCTTTTACAAGGTTTGTTGTGGTTAAATTTTTAAGTTCTCTCTCAATCAAATATTTTGCTTGAGGATAAATTAGTGCCTGACATTTCATCACATTTATTTTCCTTTGCCTCACAAAGCAACTAAGAGATGACAGCCTTGACTGCATTAATGTAAGAAAGGAGAGGAAAGAATCAGCTAAGACTTCCTGCCTCTGAGCACAGATTGGTGGTTTATTATTATAAAAATTTGGTCTTCTTTGATAAGGTAGACCAATTCCCCATAACATGCAGTAAAATGATCAAAATGAACGTGGCAGAAAAAACTTTTTAAAAATCCAACAGAGCCAAATGCGGTGGCTCATTCCTGTAATCCCAGCACTTTGGGAGGCCAAGGTGGGTGGATTACAAGGTCGGGAGTTTGAGACCAGCCTGACCAATAGTGAACCCAGTCTCTAGTAAAAATACAAAAACTAGCTGGGCATGGTGGCGCATCTGTAATCCCAGCTACTGAGGAGGCTGAGGCCGAAGAATCGCTTGAACCCAGGAGGAGGAATTTGCAATGAGCCGGGATTGTGCCACTGCACTCCAGCCTGGTCAATAGACCCAAGACTCCATCTCTAAATAAATAAATATCCAACACAATTCATAAATTGTGGTAAGTGGGATTATTTATTGGCAGATATTCACTCACTTACTTCTCCACACCTATATTACACTGTTACACTCGTAATCTCCAATAAAGCAGGCCTCCAGATGTTCAATGCTGCTGGTAATACAAACAAAATCTCGGTAAACATTTGTACATTGGCATGTATCCTCTCAGAACTCTCCCCCATGAAAAGCAGCCGCTATACAGACATCATACAATAAAGAAACTCAGGCTACATACTCAGTAAGAAACCCAAAAGGAAGAGAAGCCATCTTAGACTTTCTGACACTAGCTGAGTTCTCCTCTGAAAGCAGATGCTTGAGTGACCCCAGTCATACCATATGAAACAAAAGAACTACCAAAAAAAATCATGAGAAATAATAAAACGCTGTTTTTTAAGCTATAGGTTTGGATAGTTTTTCTGCCACAATGTCTAACTGATACAGAAACTGGTGCCAGAAATGGGATTCTATATAACAAAAACTACAACATGTGGCATTGACGTTGGGAACAGAAAATGAGTAGAGGCCTGAAGGTGGCAAAGAGATTTATTGGTAGACGCTTGAAAATCAGTTAAGAAAGTGTGGATGAAGCTTGCAGAAAGAGGAACCTTTTGTTAGTGGAAGGATAAACAAGATCATTGCCTGTGATAACTTTGAAGATAGAAAATATGCTTAAGAAACTAGTGGATATTTCCAGGTAGAATGATGAATATGTCAATTGATTCCTTTAGCCTCTTCTGATAAGGTATTGCAGAAAATAGTTGAAGTAAAGATAGAATTGGTCAATTTCCAAGCACAATTTAGAGAGGATATTTCCAACCTAAAACTCCGTGGGTGAAGAAAATGAAAATCTTTCTTATTTTCAGCCTCTCCAGGTGGCAAAAAAAAAAAAAAATCTCAAGTAAGAAATTATTTCAGGGCAAAGATAAAATCCAGAGTGCTACCAAAAAACATGACTTTGGGATCAAGTTCAAATGAAAGATGAAGGTGTAATATGCTTTGCTGAAACCCCAAAAGATTTAAGGAAATGATTTAAAGACCTATACAGCATCTTAGAATTCTCAGGGTGTTGTTCCACAGCAGACAGTATCAAGTAGAGATGAGCTCGTCTTGAAGAGATGTATGAGTACAGCTTCAACCTAACTGAGTAAATTATGGTTTGATATATAGAAAACCCAGAAGTTATTCAAAGGCGTTGAATCAGTTTTGGATAGAAATAGTTCAAAATTAAAAGATGTATCTAGGCCCCCAGCTTTGTGCAGGCAGGAAACAGGCTAGACATTTTTTTTAGCGCAAATATATGCCATTCCACATGGGAAAGGAGAGATAAGTCAGAAAGAAAAGCCAAGAGCTGAGAGGGTGAAGCTAGGAGTCAAGAGTGTGCAGCCTTGAGTAATGGGTAGGAGAACAATGCCCAAAGTGCATAATTGAATTTTAATCAAGGAAAAGTCCCAGAACAAGGGGAATTGAAGACATTGACCTAGTAGGATTGGTTAAATGTATTGCCATGGACAATACTATCATGTGCCTTCAATTCTGCCTCTTTTTAAATGAGAACCTCTACTGTGCTTATCCTGTCCCACTGTGCCTCAAGT